GTGCTCTCAAGAAGGGAGTTTCCCATCTTATAAGTGTGCTGCTGGTTACTACTGCCCAAGTGCAGCACCCTGCACTTGTCAGTATTGAAGCGCATCCTGTTTTTGCTAGCCCACCCCTGTAACCTATCCAAGTCTTTCTGCAGTCTTTCCCTCCATTAGGCCAGTTTGCTCTGGCCTAATAGCACCACGTGTGTAGACAATGATGCTTTACTGCAGAGCTACTTAGTCACCTTTGTAGTAGAATGTCTTTGGAGAAGCACCTAGTACAAGGGTAGTACAATTTCTACCTTGGAAGGTGCTGGAGCGCCGACACGCTGGAGCCCGGAACAGCTGTTTGCAGCTTTGCAGCTGCAGATGGCCCACAGAGCCCAGTCTGCTTGCATCAGGGCTTACAGCCTCCCAGCTGCCTACTGGGAGCAGCCTGGGCTGTGTGGCTGGCAGCAGCTGCTTAGACCCCGGTCTGGTGGTGGTGTGCCGAGCAAAATGGCCTTGCGTGCCATGCTCAGCACATGTGCTGGGGGTTGCTGACCCCTGACCTAGTATGTAAAGGCAGGCCAGGGTTGGATGAGAAGAACTTACACAGAACGTAGAGGTGATCTTTTTAACTTAATGGAGAATGCCGCTTGACATTGAAGCCCTCTGCTTCCACAGCTAAATCATTCAGCCACTCGACTTGTTTTGCACCCAAATATTTTCCCATGCATTTACACACATTCATTTCCTAGTACCCCGTATCTTTGGTTCCTTTGCTTCTCTGTCCCCACCCCAGTTTAACACACTTCCAAAAAGTGAAGTAAATTGCTATTCCAAGAAAAGGAACTACAATAGTTCTGTATAGATTCAGCATGGAATCTACTTCAGTAAGCTATTAATGACACACAGAAGAAGTTTACATCCCCTTGAACAACAGAAGCAAGAAGGAAAAATGCCTATTCCATTAGGCTGAATGGCAAGGTATTAAAAATGAGTGTCTTTTTTAAACAGGTAACCAGTAGAAAATGGAAAGTTGATCCAAAATAAGCTAGTAGTATGGAAGAATAATAAGAAATAATATCAAGCCAGGTTTTGATAGGAGGTTCAGAGCACGGGTAAGCCGAAGAACTGCTACAGGAGTAAGCAGCCTATGAAAAACACTGGAGAACCAGGATGCAAAAAGAACATTGAAGCGGGGAAAGGACTTTGCAGAGAAGCTAAAAGATGTATTTGCACTATTATGCATGCTGGGGAACTACTTAGCTAATAAAGACGAAGTCTTGGAGACTGAGGTGTTAGAGAGGAGATGCTCAAAGAAACTGATAGATTTCTAAGTAGATGGTGTTACCCTTGAAATTTGAAGTCACTATACCCAATCTACAACTTAAGCAAGCATTTATATTAAAGGGCATGAATACTACTTTGCTGAATCAAAGCCATTAATATTGGACAGAGAGAGATGATAACAAAATGTAAACTCCCACTAAATTCTGGGGCTATCCCATGGACTGAAGAGCAGCAAACATTGTACCTATCTTCACATAGGTACTAGGTGTGATGCTGGGATCTACGGGATGTGACAATAAAACTCTAGGTTTTATTGTAATTTTCTGTTTAAAATGTGTTGACATTTTACTAATGTTTTGTGCCTGTTTCCTTGATTTCCCTGATTAGCTTATGCATGGGGAATAAAGTCTTAATAGAGGCCTTGCTAAGTGCCAGAGCTGCCTAGAGCATGGACAAAACAAGGTAGATCTTCAGCATCAACAGAGACTTGAATAGGTTCATTGAAACTACAGCAAAGGTAGGATTGCTGGTGACATTGAGGAGGCTCCAGGGAAACATGACAATGCTGGCTGGTGGGAGGTGGTCTGAAGAGAGGTACCAGCTGAGCAGCTTTGGGGCTCTGGCGTTTGTGGACTGGAGAGGAAAGAAGTGAGCAACTCTGTGGTGCTCAGCTCTATGCAGGCTGGACTGCGGATAGATGGACTGCTTAACGCTTGGGAGGGGGACAGAGCACCTCTGGCTGGGTGGCCTTTGTCTTCATTGAAGAGGAACTTTCTGTTTTGCTGCTTGGAACTTCAGGGTATATTTTTCTCCTTAACAAGAGGCAAATTCCCTCTCAGGAGCTGAACTAGAATGCAGTTCCTTGATTGAAGCAGGGCCACGGAAAACCAGGGAGGGTCAGGGATTGCAAGGCTAAGGTCTCTGAGTTAGAAGGAGTTAGGGATTCCCCCTCCCTAAAGGGGGCAGGAATCTGTGGCAGACTATTGAATATTACTTCAGTAGCAAATAAACCAATGTAAACAACAATTA